TACTATTTTATATTATATATTTTAAAACAGGTAGCACCTAAAAGCCATTCAGAACAAGACAAAAATATACATGATACCCATCTCCCATCAAAACCAATCAATGAAATTGCTCAGTGACACACTTCTAAAAAGCTTTGATGATTCAATATAATGCAAAGGAGCCAGGGTTAAGATATGGGCACATATATGGGATAAACAGCATTCCTGGATTATTTGGATTTTATAACATTGGTCCATTATAGTTTGTAAAAAAAAACTGAATAAATTGATAAAAACTGACAAAACAAATAAAACAAAATGGATGAATTTGAATGGTTTTACTATCATGAATAATGAAGCTCCAAGCAGTTTTTCAACATACAAATTCTTGCAGACTAGATGGAATTCAACTGAAATAAATAGTAGAAACCTACCTGTTATAAATTATTATAAAGTAATGCTCTTATCTTATCTGGAACTTATCAAAGAAAAATCCAATTTAGGACTAAGGAGAAATTTCCTGACAGTGAGAACAATTAATCAGTGGGATGACTTGACTCTAGAAGTTGTGGAAACTCCATCACTGGAGGTTTTTAAGAAAAGATTGGATAGATATTTGTCCATAATGATATATGTTTTCCTGCTTGGGCTGGAGGGTTGAACTAGAAGACTTCAAGATTTCCAAGGTCCCTTCCCATCCTGTTCTCCTGTATTCTGTAAACAAGGCTTTTATGGAAGTTTGGTAACTTCTGAAGTTCTTATAGTCCTACAAAAAAGTTTAGTTGGTTTGGTGGAGTTAAGTGTTCTAAACTGAGTACTACATCATAAATGAAAATATAATATTGTTCTTACTTATCTCTAATACTCACAACATTGTTATTTTTTTAGCACCCATTGCGCTCCCTGAGGAATCATTTTCTCCATATTCACGATTTTTTACCTTTTCTCTCTGCTTCTCAAGAATGTCAAGTCTTGCACAATCTTTCATTAAACAAGACAGTGTCTATTTTGCTGTAGCCTAGGCTCTGGACATAGGCAGACAATTTTTGCTTAGAGGAAGATGCACAGCCATAAAATATAATCATTAATCTTTCCACTGGCCTTTGTGTTCTGCACTGAATACATCCCTAAAAATAAATGCTAAGTAAACAAACTGTAAAGAAGCAGTAATTCTGGTCCCTTAAATTTCAGCAAACGTGATTTTTTTCAACATACTCTACTCTTAAGTAGAGAACATTGGGTAGCGAAAATAATAAAAGAATCAGTGTGTGAACAAGATCAAAATAAATAACTAGGTGCTCTTTCACATTACATGAACTATGGTTTCAAAAATCGCCAACAACCGGGCAGCTGTGATAGCAGGGATAGTACAGAAAGTATGCTATAGAGGCAGACCAATTTAAAATGGCAGAAGGTTGCTAATTGATAGCCGCTACCCATCCTTACATCACTATGAACATTTCATTCCTAAAGCAGCCATACAGATGCTTCTGAAACTCTTGTGAAAGTGTTCCTGTTTGCCCTCAATGCAGGCTTGTCATTAAGGGGTTGCCTGGTTACCATAGGTGAGTAGAAAATGCCCCTAGGGTACCCTGATTTAAAGCTAATTGCCCAGCTGTAAAATTAACCCTTTTTATTATAAACATTAACAACATCATAATTTAAAAATTGTCAGTTCAGTGTTGTTTGACTTTCAGCAGTTATTCGACTATGAACTATCATGCTAGTACCAGCCCTCTCTGATTATTGTTGACAACACTGATGAATAATTTACTAATGCTGTATTACTATTATTCTTCTCTTCCTAGTATCTATCTCTTCCCACTTGGTCTATAACCATGTTGCTTGTATCTTTCAATTTATATTGTTTTATTTGTTTACTAGTACGATTTGATATCTTATTAGTAACCTTAACTATCATTAAGTATTGTATCTTTTTATTCTTGATGACTGTACAACTTACGTACTGAGAGCATTTGCACAAGACAAATTCCTTGTGTGTCCAATCACACTTGGCCAATAAATAATTCTATTCTATTCTATTAATTTGATACCCTTTTTTCCCTTCTAGACCAATAAATTAAGGCAATAATAACCAAAGAATGCAAGTTTTTCCCCCTTTGGGAGGAACAATTGAACCCTTCTAGTTACATTTTCCTTGTCCTAAGACTTTCACAAAGAAAGTAATTAGAGTGAACACTAATAGCTATTCCCTTTGCTGCACCTGACTTAAGAGAAAATAACCTGGAAACGGTTTGGGCATGTTTTCTTAGGTTTACTGAAGCCTGAATATTGTTCTTTGTTGAATTAACTGGTGTACAGAGAATATGTTTTTTCATCTGATGAGCAGATTATGAAATCTGCCCAAGTCTAATTTAAATGAAATCTCATAGTTACATGATGAAAAGCAACACAACCATTAACTGAATCACAAAACAAAGGACTGCAAGTCTAAAGAACTGACATCTGTACTTGTATGTTTTGCAGGTTCTTTCTGAAATAAATTTTCACTCTGCCTGTGGCACATTCTGGTCTTCAGTAAACAGAAACACAAACGGAACTTTTAGTCATTTTGGAAAAATAAATTACAGTTCTTGTATTTTTCCAGAATCCTTGCCAAGTCTAAGCAAATGGCCAGACCACATTTAAGCAGGCAAAAGCTTTGAGAAAGCACAAAAAGAATGGCTCATATAATTTTCTTTCACAAAATTAAAAGGAAACGTAAAGGCTATCTAGTAGTTCAATTCCTGACTGATACAAAAAATCCACTAAGAGATATACCATACATAGGAGGGATCCTTGATTCTTCTACTTTATCCCTAAAGAATGTGCTTGCTATTATAAACTGTCCACAATCACTCGGGTGAGATAATGGTGTATAAATTAAATTTAATTAAAATAAATAAATAAAGCATCCTCTCAATCTATAACATATAACATGCAATATATAACATTTTTGTTGATACATCTTTTTCTTACATTTTTTTGAAAATGTCTACAACAGATTGCTCCAGAGCAAAGATTGTAGCTACAAGAAGACCATAACTACATTGTCAGA